GTCAAGGCAGCAAAGAGGGCAGGAGGCCATCATCTGTCCTCAGAGGAGCTAGAGGAATCCACAGGCTTCCACATAAATATTTAGGTCTTCTAATCAGATCTTAGAGTGCACCAAGTGTTTCCTCTGGCGTGTGCCATGCGGCAGAAATCCAGAGGAGCTGTTTGTTCCTTTCTTTGCCTTTGGTTCTCTTTCCATATCCTATTTGTTCATGACAGTTTGGGCAATACATCTGGCACGCTTGTTCAGTGAAGCCGACTACGGATTGAGCAGTGTGAAGCCTTCTCTGTTTTTGGCAAGAGTCTAAATGCAATTTCAGAAAAAATTACTTCATCAGAGTCAGTCCGTCGGAGGTATTTCCAGTGGCAGGCCTTGCGGTTGTTCCACTTGAGGAGGCCTTGAGGTTATTCCACTCGCTAGCAAAGAAAATGGCAACTGCGAGTGAAATTCATCCAGCCCGGAGGATGGCATTCACCTTCCTGTATGAAGTCTTAGCGCTTTACTGACCCATGCAGGATTTTCTCACCTGACTAGATTTGGGCAGCAATCTTACCTCCTGTTTGTCTTGCGGGGACTGCTAAGCGTGCTCGCAAAGGCTGTTCGTGCTTGCTTCTTAAGCTGACTTTGAGTAAGTTCGGGCAAGGACCTTCCTTGTTCAGACTGGAATCTCTGCCCCAAACGTTCCTTCTTCTACCGTCAGTTTCGGAGGCCAGATCCTTCTGATCTCAGCTCAAGGGCAATGAATGCTCTTTATACCTGACTTCCTTCTTAAGCAGCCTTCTCAAAATAGCACTTTCAAATCTTATCTCTGCCCTACGAATTTCTGAGGTCCTGTGCTCTGTCTGGATCAGACCTCCTCCGTATTGGCTGCAGAATGTCCATCATCTTTGGCAGTTGCAGTCCACATTGAGCAGCTTTGTTCTCGGGATATAAACACAAACTACTTAGTTTGCCCCCTTCACCATGGCTGTAGTGTTTATTTCTGTTTCAGCAATGCTTTGGAGTCTTGCTGGAGAAGCTTTTGATCCGCCGGCTTTCCGGTTGAATTTTCCAAGAGCTAGTTTATGTGTTTGGGGTGTGTGTACTATGCAGTATTTCATGTTGGTAGCTTGGGTTTCTCCTTCCATGCGCGTGTTCCTTTGAAGTGCTTATTTTCTTATTCATCTTTTAACATCAAACCAGCAGCAGACCTGTGGCACACTAATCTTTTCAGATCATGTATCGGAAAGAATGTTTCTCATTCTGGCAGCTGCGAGTTCCCCTTAGACAGCAGTCTCTGCCTGGTCTGAAAGCATCACTCTGTCAGGGAGCAGAATAACTGGATGTATTTTACAAGGATTGTTGAAGGTTTTTTTTAATAGCTGTGTCCGGAGATACCTGGAGAAGGAGAAGATACCGAGATGTTACTTGGGGAGGGTTCTGGCTGAACCTCATCTGTGCTCTAGAGAGCAATTTACTAAAGTGCGCAGTAAAACAAAGCAGAAGTGTTTCTTTTGTGTATCGCAGCTGGATTCACGGGGGAATGTTGTTCTGGTGCAGATATTTTTGTCGTGGAATGCAGGACGCAGTAGCCCCAGTTACACCACTCTGCAGCCAGGATGCCCTGCTGTCATAAACCACGCTCACCACTGTGGTGTCTGAGGAGCTGCACTCTGCCGGTCTGAAATAAAGCTTTGAATTCCTTAGCTACACAGTCTCAGACTAAATGCGGCTTTTTGAGTAACAAGCTGGTCTTCAGATTTCAGAAATGGAAAGCGTTCATTTAAATTTCTGTAACTAAGTAAATTGATGAAGCTGTGTTATGTAGCTTGTTTTACAGTCTGAGGAGTTGGTCATTTGGAATGACAGTCCTTAATTGGGGAGGACAGTAAGAAGGACATTGGCTTCCTCCACTTCGTGCCTCATCAGTGACTTTCTGGTCGCTTTGAAAGAAAGCTGTGCTGTGATTAAGGCCTTGGATGAGACTCTGGAGACGTACATACTTAGTTTTCATTTCTGCTACTGCCATCCTGTGTGATCTTGAATTAGTTTAATCACTTCAGGTCCCAGGTTTTTGTCTATACCAAAAAGCCCCCAAACCTCGTACTTTCATCACACGTAGTTGCACAGTGGAACACCATTTGTAATCGGATTTCTAGGTGCTGTTGCAGTAAAAGGAATAACCTAACTGTATCTTGTAAATGTGCTTTGCACAGTGTGATTTGAACGTTATAGTTCATGTATTTTCCTAGTCAGAATGGCGTTGTATCTTTAGCTGGAAATCAAAGCAGCAAGGAAGAGAAATGCTGGATATAGTAACTAGCTGTTGACTCATTCATATTGTAGTAATTCTTCACGTATAACTGAATAGAGTTTTTTGAATATTTGTTTCAAATGGCCTATGATTCTTTTGGTCAGTCTGACAGGCTCAGTGTGACTCTTAAGAGCTTTGTGAATCTGTTTTGATTCACAGATATTCTAATAAGAATCCTATGTGGTGAGGTTAAGAACTGCAGAGTTCTTCTGGAGACATTGATAATGCATTAGAGGAACTGCAAATGAGGAAATACCTGCTGACTTGAGAATATCGTTTTTAGGTAATGGTCTACCCAGTATTTGATCCTTGCATTCTTAGCGGTGTTAGAGAATACTAAAGGCTTCGACTTTGGGTTTGTAGGTTTTCTTGGACTGCAGCTACTTAAAGCCTTCTCATCGTTATGCCAAGACATTCTTTGGCGAGTGGGATCATTCCACTGGCTTTTTTTTTTTTTTTTTAGTGTGAAATTGGTGCTGATTTAAATACTTCTGTGTTAAAAAAAATCTCAGAGCTTTATGTCCTGCCAGTGACTGGCTGGAGAATTCCCAGGGTGATCAGTGAGATGTAGCTGCTGCCTTGTGTACTGAACCCTCAGTAAGTGCTGAAATTGGGATGGTACCCGAGAATTCTGCACAAAGGAAGCTAGATAAAGGGTTGTATGAATGAGCCAACAGTCTATTTCAGTTGCAGAAAAAGAACTTACTGGATGTAAGTCTGGCAAGAGGGGACTCTGGCTGACCCCTAGGAAAGGGTAGGGATGCAGCCAAAAGGAGCCATCTGAAGGAGGTTGCGTTCTGCGTACTTGTGAGCTACTCTCTAGTTCCTTTACGTTTCTTTCAATTAAAAGATTTTGAGCTGAAACTCATGGACTGATGTTTTGCCAGCAGTGGGAAATGGTTGTGGACGTGGATCCTGAAACTTAGAACTATGTTTGTTTGTCAACCTGTGAGTAAATAGGGTAGAGGTTTACATTGGGGCACGTTCTGTCTGTGTGGTTGAGCGCGTCTGTCTAGCTCTTGCTCTGTGTTTCTCACTCTCTTTTTCTCTTTGTGCCTCATGCAGGCCCTGCCACGAATTTTCTCTGACCCCTTGGGGCCATTCCCGCATGAAGCTTTGATGTGTGTGCCCAGAGCTTGATTGACAAGGAAGTTTTGGTGGCGGCAGCGAAGAGAAAAGGGCAGGGCTTTGAACTAAAGGGCTTTGAGCTCTGAGATGCTGTGCTTACTTATCTCCTTCAGAATGTTAATTATTTACCAAGATAATTGGTCGGGAGGGGAAAAAAAAGAGAGGGAAGGTTATTAAAAAATTCCAACACTAACACGCTACAAAAACCTCATTTTCCAACTTGCAGCTGGCATGAAAAGGATGTTGTGTGTAAAAGGGCTTGAGTGCCTGTGTGCTGGGGGGGGCTTTTTAAGGCACCCATTTCCTAAATAGAGGGTCCCCTTCAGACGAATGCAGTGGAAACATCAAAGCTCTTCCAAGAGTTTTCTCTGGGATTTCTAAACCGTGTCTGGTACTTTTTAATTAAAAAGTTTATGGAGAGCTGTCTTTGTGCCTGGAATAGGCAACCTTAGGCCCTGTAAATAATGATTTGTGCTACAATGTCAGTTCAAGAATGTGAAGATGCCTGGCTCCTCCAGCAAGAGCCGAAGCTTGGAGTAGACTGATGAGTGTCTCCTGCGTCAGCCTAACATGATGTGGGCTGTGCCGTGTGTGAAAGCATTCCTTGGATAAATGTAAACAAGTCTGTAATAGCACATACTCATTTGAAGTCTGTAGTCAGGAAAGATCGGCAAAGCTGTTTCACTTTGCCTCCAGTTAGTACATTTTTATTAGTGTCTGTATTAGGGAGCACTCTGCAGATCAGGGTAGGTTTGAGTTTGGGTAATTGCTGCGCTGGATCAGGTCCAGGGGCGTCGTTCCAGTGTTCTGACTGTGCTGATGGTGGCAACAGAGGTTCAAGAAAACTCGAGCAGGCAGCCTGCCCTGCACGATTCCCAAGTGCACATTAGTGATATGGAGAGGGGTAGTTGCTTGCTTTTCTCTCTTTCTTTATTTATTGGATCAAGGTGAGAAATTTAGTGTTATTGTTTTGCCAGGGTAAATGTACACCATTAATCAAGGCAGTCCTGCACATAAATGAACTGAATGGATGGAAAAAAAAAAAGTTTGAATGTGGCAGTTATTCAGACTGTATTTCTGAACGGATAGACTGCATCCTGGAAAGCTGTTGAAACTAGACAAATTCCAGCTAGAGACAGGGTATAAATGTGGTAGAATAATGTAGAATAGGTTTCTGAGGGCATAGCTGGTCCTTCTCTTCTCTGAGTGTCAGCCACTCAGGTCTTGGAAGATTCTTAATCATACTCATGTTATCTGCTCAGCAGTGGAAAATGTGTGCAGAATAAAATTGCCTGAGATACAGGGACAGAGGAAAACAAGCGGCTGGTCGCCAGCACAAAGAGAACTTGCTGTACAGGTCTCGTCATCTGTGTGTGGTAGAATAGATCATAGAATTTTGCTTCATGTCTTACTCTGGGTGCCCTGTGCTCCACACAAATTTAGCCTTTTCTGAAATATAGATGGTTCAGTGCCCTCAGCTTGACCTTTGTGAGTTTGTCTGTAGCTGCCTAACCGGTCTCTGATGTTCACAGTGAACTCTGAAAGCCTGGACCATCAGTGATCTCTTCCTCTTTTGCTGCAGGCTAAACTCTTTCCAACTGCTGTCATTCACTTTGGATCGGAGGGGAGCAGGGGTGAGTGCATTTCCTCTCTTCTTCATCTGACTGTGTACAAGATTTGTGGGGACGAGAATGGTTGAACAGTGACTCTGTAGAAGGGAATTCTGTTGTTGAAAATGTTAACGTGCCAAACGGCTACGAACCACTCGATACAGACCTCCTGTTGTAGAGGACTGGCTGGAGATGGGCGAACAGGTCTGAGTCCTCTCTTTCTCTGACACCTCTGTTTTATGCTTCGAATCTGTTTCTCCCAGAGATTGAAGCATCCTCTGGCTTCACAGAAAAGTTTTCTGAGGTGCAGTGAGCACTGGAAGAAAAAGTTGAGATCTTGAGGTCTGAATGCTGAAGTAGGTCACCTTGACCTGTGAAAGAAACTGTCGTAGGATAGATGTGTCCTGTGTCAGCTGGGGGAAGGTGGTGGAGATTTACTATAGTGTACAGCAGGTATTTGCTGAGCCGAGAGCTCTGTGATTCTCTGGTGAATGATGTCTCTGTGTTACCAGGCAAGTAAGGGTTTCATTTTTCAACAGATTGTTACCTGAAGCCAGACCTGCTGAGCTCTGCAGTTTCCCCTTCTGCAGCTGATTTATTAGTAGCCAGGTACGTTGGGAATGAATAGAGTTACAAATGGGTGGGTATTTCGGGGATGGGAAGATGAAACGAGCCCATCTTAGTACAAAGATAGGTATTCTGAAGACACTCCTGAAACAGTCTTACTGTCATGTGTGACTTAATAGCTTTGTGAGACCTTTGCAAAGTAGGATTTCGGTGACTAAATCAAGTAAATCGTAGTGCTTTGTCGTGAAAAGGAAGAGCCTTTTCAGTCTGACTCTAAAAGTTTCAAGGTGGTGGTGGCACAATGGGCTATTACGAAAAAATTAAGCCTAATTTTACTTGCTTATTTCCTTCCTCAGATGTTTGTCCAAATCATTAGTTCCTTCTGCTTCATCATCTGTAGAATCAACAGTCCCATCCCTACCTGAACCAGAAGTGAGAAGTGACAAGAAGACTGTGGAGCAGCCAGAACCAGCAAGTGTGCATGAAGCTCCCCAGGTGGTGAGAAGGGCCCCTGGGAAGATGCCCAAATGGCTGAAGCTGCCAGGTATCGCAAAATTAGAGGAGATCTGATCTCATTCCAAACTCCCCAGGAAGGCAGGCTTCTCTGCGCCAAACACGGTGGACGTTCACAGTATTCTTGATGGTGTCAGCATAAGAGTTGCACGACATTTGCTTCAGTGCTTGTTGATCACATACCAGTTTGTGACTTGAACCTCAGCCTTCAGTGGAGAAGTGTCTGAACGCAGGGTCTGGGCATTGTTGAGTCTGAGTCTAACCCATGTGCCTGCAGGATTCCTAACTGCACTCTGGGCTTAATGTGTTGAGTTCTTAGCTGTGCTAATGTAGTCCAGATACTAACAGGCGTGATATTCTACATACTAAGGGCCCGTGTAATCTGTTAAATCTTGGTCATTATTTTTCCTTTGCTGGTATAGTCTATTTTAGTACTTTTCCTTGATTTTTTTTTTTTAATCCTCACTGCAGAAGAGCAGTGGTTTTCCATAATTAAGATTGCAACCAAGTTTCCATTATTAGTTTTCTCTTGGTTTATCCTGATCAAAAAACTGAAAACTTGTCTTTAGTTTCAGAACCAACAGCTTATGTGTAGTTTTATATGAGAATTTACAGGAAATATGAAGTAACTAGAAGAAGGATTCCTGAATTAAACAATTGGCAATATTCACTCTTTGATGCAGTGGCAAAGAGAAGGGAGGGGTAGGGGGTGGTATTTAAAAGGACATTTAGTCAACCCCCTTAACGGCAATAAAACTAGGAAGAATATGTGGAATTCCCTGGCTAATAAGGCAGAATGTTAACTTCCTGAATGAGAATTTTAGCATTGGATTCTGGAAGGTGCTGAGGGGCCATGAGCTCCAGCAAACATAGCCTAAGGCGAGGAGTGATTGCTGGAAGGCTGCCGAGAGCGGGTTGGTGTGTCTCCTTGCTGCTCCTGCTGGTCTGTTTTGGACAGGTACGAGGATCTGGATGCAGGTCGTGTGGGAAGCGCTATCTTTGCTGTTTCCAGTGTGCTCGAAGAATTCCACTTAAGAGTAGAACTTTCTTTCCCAAATAAAGATTACCTGGATAAAGTACGATATAGCATCTTGGCTACTTGTGCAGGTTACCCATTAACAGCTGGTATGAAGGGTTAATAATGTGCTCAAACACACGTGTTAACATGTGGCATGAAGTTCCTCACTCTGAAAGTTAGGATGCATTCACCATTCTGTCTTCCTCAGGAGTGCTGCTCCGTGCTGCCAGCACAGCAGTGCAGAGAGCCCTTAGCAAGCAGATCGTGCTACTGAGAAATGCTACAGTGCAAATTACGTGGTTAAGTGTTTTAATGCTCTTATGTTTTATTTTGTAGGTGGGAAGAGATGAAACGTTCTGGGCTGCCAGATCAGGGAGCAGTCAGCTGTGCCTCTTTCCTGATGAACTGACTCAGGATGTGTAAGAAATTGTTGGTGGCCCTGGAGAGATCTAATCTGTATGAACGTTAGTTATAAATAGAGAATTGCTATTTCAGATGCCACTTTCACGTTTTGGAGGAGTGGAAGACCTGTTTGTGGTCTTCATGACCACAGAAACGAGGTTAGAGGTTAAATTTAAGATTTCTTGCATGCAAATGATATGAATAGAGAATTACGGGGGAAATAATTCCTACATACTTTCTGTGAAGGGCTTTGTTTCTTTCCATATTTTTAAATTCAGGTCTTCCCCCTTCTGCCTTCAGAGATAACTTGAGTCTAGCTGCCTAAATGCTAGCAGCAAAATACAGTCCGATTCACTTTTACCTAGAGCTAAGTGCTGCTTAGAACAAGACTTCTCTCTGCTTCTTGCTGGCTGGGGTTAGTGCTGCTGCTAATTCAGGGTGTAGGTGGCTGGAAAGTGAGTGAAGAGGAAGCACCTAGGCCGCTTAAACCAGTTCGGAGAGGCTTTTCCTGTGAGCCTCCTGTTCTGCTGTACTTGTATCATTTCCAGTTGTCAGAATCTTGTCAGCAAAACCAGCTATCTGTCAATTGAACGCATGTGGAGTTTGTTTCTGCCCCAAGCTCTGTGTTTTGTTTTCACTACGACCAATCAACGTCGGTAACTACAATGAGGAAAAAAAAACATCCAGTGACAGGGTCTCTTCACAGGACCTTCGATGGTCCAAGTGATTCCTCAGCAGAGCAGCTGTTCTCTGCAGTGCAATTAGTGTCCAGAGGGGAAGCACTAGTCCAGGTCTCTGCCTCCTGCAGATGTTGTACAAAGATGAATATTGGTGGTTAGAATTGCACTTACGCTGGAGATGAATTCTGTGGTGCCACAGGAGCCACGGTGCTGTGTTTTATTTGAAGTCTTCTCCATGGATTCACATTGGACAGCTGGGGTTCCACGTTATGGTAATAACATGTTTTCCATTTTCCCTGTAGACAACTGTACCCTGAACTACACGTGCATCTGCACAGTTTGTAGATGTAATAAAGCAGAGTGGCCATAGGAGGCCTTTTTGTCGGTCTCTTTGATAATGTTTCTTCCCCCAGTACACGGTTTCCCTGTCACTTCGCAGGAACCTGCTCCCTTTTCAGTGGGCCTGTCATGCCTCATTCCTTTCCTCCCTTTTTTTTTTTTTCCCCCAACAAAGCAAAACTGAGCTTTGTACCATCTGAATGAACTTCAAAGTGGCTAGAAAGGGCACCCAGGGTTCCTGGCACTTGTCATTGTCTCCCAGCCTGGCCAACATTTCCCTTCAGGTCTAATTACTTCCAAATGCTCCCAGATGCTTTGAAGAAACTCAGAGGGAGGGGGAGGCATGAAAGAAAGGTGGAAGAAGAAAAAGGAGGCTCAAAGGGGAGGGAGCAGAGTGCTTTAGCAAAAAATGTTGATTGATTTCTTATATGTCACCCAAACATAAACAGGGAATGCGTGCGGCCGCTGGCAGTGGGGAATGCGAGAGCGCTGTGTACAGCTGCTGCCTTCGGTCCTGGCTGTGGAGAGCAGGCCCTTCTGGCACTTGACAGGCTATAAAAGACACAAAAACATTTGGCGAAACAAAAACCATTGACGTTTATTACTTTAGTGGATTAAGTGTGGGCTGAGCCTACACTCCATAGGACTGTCTGTATCTTGGGTCAGGTGCCACGTGAGACGTACTCGTTCCACAGAAGTCAGAGGTAGACTGCAGCTAGAGCTGCTTTGCTGAGTTCATGCAGGATGTATGAGGGCTATAGCTCGTGATAGGTTATTATATCCTTGTGCTGGTGGTTTTTATTCACGGGGTTAGAATGAACAGAAGCAGTCTGACTGGTAGCTGTAGGGTGCTTTCAGATGTGCTAGTCTTGTTTTTTGAAGAGTGCAGGCAACATCAGATAGTACTGACTTGTTTAGCTGTTTTGGTTCTACCAGTTTTGACAGTTAGCACCATAACTATCGCCTGCAAGTCCCTGATACAGGAAAACAGGAGGTAAAGTTTCTGATGCAAGCAGTAATATTATTATTACTGGGGCAGCTTCCCAGATGAAGTATGGGGTGAGGATTAGGAGGCTTCATATTGCTGGCGACATGCATTCCCTCGGTCAGTTCTGGCCTTGCTTGTCCCTTTGATGCAGCCATGCATCAAACCCAATTTAATGTACTTCTCTTTCAGGAAAATGAAAAAATGGTACCTTAAACAGCTAGACCAGACATCTTATTCCCCTTTCCCTATGCTGCTGCTGCTGTTATTATAATACTTCTTTACTACTGACATACACAAGCATTCTGACTGATGTGAATGGGTCGGGCCTGGGAAGTGAACTGAGCCTTTTTAGGGCAGCAGTTTTGAGAGACCTGTGTGTCGGCAGGAGCCAGAGTGTGAATTCAAAATCTGGAAAAGGCAGGAAGGTAGGAATGAATTCTTTGAGATACTTAAAACTGCAGGCTCTTCACTAAGGTAGTTGCTGCAAGGATTCCTACCCTGCTACAGAGCAGTATGTGCAGATACCTGATGAGCCAGACAGTAGCTGAACTCAGCCCTGCAGTTTTTAGGCATTTAAAGGTAGTGTTACGTGCGTTTTTTTTTCTCTTGCCTTTTTTTACCATATGGTTGTGGGACTGGAGGGTGAACTAGGTCAGTTCCTTCATTGGTTTCACTGTACACCTGCACAAATAGTTGTGTTGGCAAAGAGGCTGCAGCGCAGAGGGATGGGGCACTGCTTAAGCTGGTACTATCATCAGAAAGAATGTGTATTAAATTGTGGGTTTAGCTGAAGTTTCCAAGTGGCTGGTGTCCCGAGTGATGACACTGATAGCACTTGGCTGAGAGCGTACCGTGACCTGCTGAGCCTCCACCCGCTACAGCTGTCAGTGGGAAGAAAACTGCTCGCTATTCCGAATCACAAAGACCATGGCTGGCCAACAACAGCGTGTGCAGTCCTGGAGACACGCTGGTGTCAGCTGCTTTTCGTGCAGCCAGCTCTGTATTTCCCAACAAAGCCATTCAGTTGTGTGGGTCCTGCCTACATATGTAAGGTTTCTTATTTCACAGCTTCCCCCCGGCACCCCTGCTGGCTGCGGGGCCAGGCTGTCCCATGATGTGGGATTTTCACACATGCTGTTTGTTATTCCATCCTTTTTCCTTTCGTCCGACAAAGATGTAGAGAAGAGGGTGGGTGAGGGGGAAACTTTGCAAGTCTTTGAAGCCACTTGACTTTCAGTGATTAATTGCAGCAAAGAGCCTACGCAAGGGAGGGAGACTTGGTTTTAATTTATTGATGTTTCTTTGTGAGAACAAATTTATAGCAGAGGGGAAGCAGCTTCTGAGGAGAATATCAAATGGTTAAAAGGTTCCAAGCATTCTTTGATGTCACAACCCTGGAGAAACAGTGGAAGGTAGTGAGGTACAGACACTGTTTATTTATAAAATAAAGATCAGTTACCTGCTTCTGGCAAGAGCCTGTGACTGAGCTCCTGTTAACAACCTATTCATTAGGCTTGGAGCTGGACCTGAAGTTTCTCCCACAGCTGCCTGCTGAGGTGATGAGAGCCTGAAGTTTGGACAACATTTCCAGCCTTTAAGTCCTT